CGCCCCCACCCCCCTTTCCCCCGGCCACACGCCTTTTCCAGCTCTCCCACGGCACACCCCCGCCCCCACCCCACCCCCCACCAACCTGCATAAACAGCCCCTCCACATCCTTCCTCAGCAGCTGGAACAAGCCCTCCAGCTCCGAAACCTTGGAACCAAAACTCGCGTGACTGCGACTGCACGTCTCCGCCCACTCGTGAAGTCGTTGAACGGGGTACAGGTCCGCGAGGCGGCGGCGGGCAGGTCCCCAGGCACCGGGACCTGGGGCGGCCCCGCCACCTCCCCCGCCCCCGCCACCTGCTGCTGCTGCTACTGCACTTCCCGCTCCAACCCCAGCTTCCGAAAGCCCGAGGTGGTACCCCGGCTGAGGTTGAGACTGACCACCATGCGGCGGTGACGGGGTCGACGAGAACGCGTCGTCCCCGGGCACATGCTGCTGCTGTTGTTGTTGTTGCTGCTGCTGCTGCTGTTGTTGCTGCTGCTGCTGCTGCTGTTGTTGCTGCTGCTGCTGCTGTTGTTGCTGCTGCTGCTGTTGTTGTTGCTGCTGCTGTTGCGGTTGTTGTTGTTGTTGTTGTTGTTGCAATGCTGGGTGTAGCTCAATGACTTCCAGGGCTGCTAGGTCTTCAGGGAAGGTGGCAAGTAGGGCGGCGTGTGCGGCGTGCTGGGCGTTGTACCTGGGGGGGTTGTGTGGGGGGTTAGGGGTACGGAAGCTGTTCAAAATACACATAGCACAGGGGTGGCCGCAGCCTGTCAAGATATATGTATGACACGCGAGACAAAAAAAAGAGGAGTCAACTGTCGACTGACGTCCAAAACTGAGTACTAAAAACTGCCGTACAAGTACAGGCGGAAGTTTGGACGGGGGTGCAGGGTAGAGAGTGTAGATGTGGCCATGGTTGCACACAAGCCGGTACGGCAATGATGATACGCCGTACCACCAAATGGTATGGCATTATTTGCAACGCGATGCGGGTCGGTCACTCAGGTGTGGTAGTTGTGGAGAGGGTAGTTGTGCGGCAGGAAAACCCGCGAGAAGCGCGGTGCGCCGCCGGCGAAAAACCCGCACCCCAGATTCGGCAAGAGAACCCGGGTAGTTGTGCGGGTAGTTGTGGAGAGGGCGCAAATACTGCACGAAGCTCCTTCCCTCCCCTCCCCCTCTCCCTTTCTCCCCCCTCTTCCTCCCCTATCTCTTTCTCCCCCCTCCCCCTCCCCTCTATCTTTCTCCCCCCTCTTCCTCCCCTCCCGCTCCGCGTGCCGCTCTCACTTGTCGAGAAATGTCTGATAGCTGTTGAGTATGTAGTTGAAATGCACCTCCACATTGGCGCGAGCAGCGTCCGCCGCGCGAGCTTGGACCTCCTGCTCGGACAGCAGCTGCCGGCACCTGGCGACAGCCACACAGAGCCACACAACACACAGCAAGTTGCTACCGCACGCAGCAGCGGCCGCAGCCGCGGCAGTACGACCGCCACTCTTTTATTTATCCCTTGCGTTAAATAGAAATTACCATCACTTATTAAGTTGATACCGTTATCCCTGGTACCATGCTAATACATACATACATACATACATACATACACAACCAAGCAGCAGACACCAACACACATGCACCGGCCGCCACTCGTCCCCCGCACCTCTGCAGCCTGGCCTGTGCCACGTCCCAATACGCCCGGGTCATGGCGAGGTGGTGCTGGAAATGTCGTTCATAGTCGGGCAGTGCGCGCACCAGCGGGCTGGGGGCCGAGTGGAGCGGGTGAGCGAGGTTCACCTCGGCCAGGGGCGGCACTGCGGCGGGCGGTGGGCGGCAGAGAGGACAGAGGGGCGGGTGGGGTGACGTGGTTGAGTGAAGCGGATAATTCTGCTGCTGATAATTGTGGTGGTAGTGGTGGTTGTTATGACGATGATGATGACGATGACGATGACGATGATGATGGTGATGGTGATGATGATGATGTTGGGGTTAAGGAGGAGCTGAGACGAGGTGAGATGGCGCTGCTTTCCCCGGAAGGGCCCCCCAGAGTAACAGGCGCGCCGTGTCAGGAACATGGGTTCGGTTTCGGAGCCCCAGGGGCCCCCCAGGCGAGAGGCAGTTCATAACCCCCTGCGGTGCCTCTGCAACCCCGCTCTCGCCATTATCAGTCACACGCTCCTCCCCTACCCTGCCCTCCCCTCCCCTACTCTTGCCGTACCTTGCACTTGCAGCGGCGGCAGCGCTTCCGGTGGCGGCAGTGCCGCTCCGGGTTTGAGGTACGCGCGGCAGTACAACAATACCGGATGGTCCTCTAGGGCCGCCACTGCCGGGTCCTGTACGGACAGGAGAATAACGTGTATAAGTGTATAACGAATATATATGTACATATATGTGTATATGTGTGTATGTGGGCCCAGGGTTTAATGCAGGACATGTCATTGGTGTTTCATGGCAGAGGTTGAAGCTTGGTCGGGTGTCACCGTGTGTGCTTTTACATGCGTGTTTTTTTCTGGGGGGGGGAAAAGGGTACAGGGTTGCAAGTTTGTCAGCGCTCGCTGGGAATAGTTTTGACGTGGCCGCCCCGAATTAGAGAGCCTAGGCGCAGGCGCCGCGGGGGAGAGGGGGCTGACATCGCAATTATTACCCTTATTACATATCTTGCCAGGAAACGGAGCTGAAGGGTGCACCGGGTCGCGGGACGTCCCACACATCGTTGTATGTGATGTAAGAATGGCACTACCTTATGCTATTTGGAAACTCCAACCGCAGGGGAATGATGGCAGGGTCATCGTTTTCTAACTCTAATTTTGGATTAAAAGCTAAGGCTTCGGATAGAGGATAGAGTGATTCTTGTGGAAGTGGTTTGACCGCAGATTTCGCTACGTGTCTCTTCGGCCTGCGCGAAGTCGCCACGCAAGTCCGCACAAGCGTCCTTACCACAGGGAGGCGATACGCGCCCAGCGTCTTTGCCGGGTCCAGTCGAGCTCCCGCGTACATGGCGATTTGGTCAGCAACAGGGATGCCTGTAAAGGACACCAGCGCGTGCTGCACCGCATCCACCCTGAGGACAGTAATAATGCGCAATTGCGCGACCCGACACGTCAGCAAAGAAGCTCTCACGGGTTCCATGACCAGGAAAGGTAACCAACATCATTATCCAAAGTGAAGCAAAGCGCGATTCGTTCTCTAGGGCGTCGCTGACGAGGGTTAGGGCCGCGCTGGGTGTTGCGGTCGCCTTCAGTCACTAGGACCGCATAACTGCACACTATACAGTTGCAGTAATAAAACTCCATGGCAGGATACCCACCGCGTGGACGGTTGCACATCTAGCTGCAAGGTCCTGCCAGAGTGGGCAACCAAGACCAGTAAAGAGGCCATTTCACTCCTTCCAGCCAGACCTGGGACTTTGCCCTTCACCAAGAACTCTTAGGTAAGCATAGAACTGAGAACTGCGCCTTAAAGGCGGAAGACGAGTGAACAGGCGTTGATAGGGTTAACTTAATTTATGACCAAAAGTTGCAAAATTGTGCGTTGCTCCACCAGGAAACTTGCATGGTTATGTTTCATCCTGACAGCTTTCATTCCTCTTCAATGAGAGGGGGTTTGCCGTATAGGACTCTATACGACTTGCAAAACCCCATGGCGAAGCTTAGCAAAGGTAGCCATGTCATACGGTATTAGCACATCGAACAGTCTTTGGGATTTGTGGCCCCGCATCCTATTGCCGTGGCCTTCAGGCCTACGCATACTTCTTATGTCTGCCAGCCGTAATTATAATCCCAGCTTGGTTACAATGAAATATATGTATATGTTTGTTTGTTAGAAATATTTTGTAACTGCCCCGCATTGAACAGGGTCCAGCGGGAGATGCGGGCTAGGCTCGTATGCCTTTTCCTCTGTGCTTTGCCTAGGTTCGGACATGGATTTAGTTGGGAAAACGGTCCTTCTGCAACGACTGCTGCCCCCGAGCCACGTTCCTTTGCGTCGCTCTCAGGTATAGGAGGGGCACGACACGGACGGGCGAGCCTTGTTCTTCTCTCAGGGCCAGTTGCGGCGCTGACTGCAGGCTCTTATAACGACTCAACCGTGTACCTGTATGGGGGCTTCTCCCACGCAAGGAACACCTGGATGAGTGAGACGTGGAAACTACAGTTGAACGGGGCCAACGCGCAGTGGACAAAGTTAACCCAAGGTACATCTCCTGGACTGGAGCTTGAATTGTCACCGCTTACATCATAGCCGACACCTGGGCTCGTATCTAACCTTTTCATGGGTATTACAAATTGTAGGCGATTTACAGCACGCCACCATAGTCAACTTAGGGGGCGAGATCCTGCTGGTCGGGGGAAGAAATACCTCCGGTACTATCAACGACAAGCTCTACAGGCTGGACAAGACCTGGGTGGCAGTCCCCGTCCAGGTAAGCCATCCAGCTGCCCATGTGTTGCAACTGCGCTCCGGGACTGGGGTCTCAGAAGCACAAAGACTACATCAGCACGACACACCTTTCGGGATGTGGGTTTTGAGTGGGGTCCTCAGGATAACGGGGGGGACGGGGTTTGGGCCGCGTTCTGTGATTAGGAAAAATGGGACGAATGATGGAGGGGGCCAGAAAGCAGCAGCAGCGGCGGCAATGTTGACAACAGCAACGATGCCGGCAGGGGCAGCGGGGCTGGCAGCGGAAGCAGTGATTGCAGCGGCAACGGTGATGGCAGCGGAAGCGACAGCAGTAGCTGTGGAGGCAGCACGGCGGGGCCGGATGGTCGGGTTCGCGGCGGCAATTGCTGCAGCAACTATCATCATGGAATCAAGCATTTGCAGGCAGGAGGATTGCAGAACCGTAGGCAGCATGTCTCTCAGTGGCTTCCGGCGGAGGGAGCGTTGTGGACCGTTCATCGTAAGGCCCGAAACGACGCGAGCAGCAGCCCGCCCGACGCGCTTCCGTGTGACGCGAGCGGGCGGGGCGCCTCGCCTTGGCCACTTGCTTGGGCGCGGACCAGGGGCACGGCCAGGAGCGGATGTTCTCCAGTTTCGAAATGGATTGAAAAGTCTCTTTTTCGGCTCCTTCAGCCTTTAATTTTGGGCGGCGAAACGATGCAGTCCGCTCGAGCAGTAGACGCAGTAGACGCACTTTACTCCGGGGAAACCGGGGAAGGCCCGATTGACCGAAACACGTCCATCTTTTCGGCTGCGGTTATGAGCCGTGGGTTTGGGGGTTCACCGGGGGGTTCAGACGAACCACGGACGAGTGAAGCAAATATTAGAGAAAGAAAGAGAGAGAGAGAGAGAGAGAGAGAGCTTTCTTGGGGGATTCTAGGGGTCGGTGCTCCGGCTTCCCAGCCGGGGTTTATGTGGGTGAGGTGAGCTGGGATCCACGCCGCTTGCCTGGCGTGGATGCGAGTGGCCCTGGGGAGGACACCGGACTGTGCAGGGTGTCGGGCCGAAGTAACGCTGGTGGCTGCATATCGCCGCCTACAACCCTAAAAGTTCATTCCCGCTCGGTGGCATCGTGCTGCAGGGGAATGCCGTACCACGGCTATACCGCCATGCAGCCGTGTCGTACACCGTGGCCGGCTCGCCGCGCGTGCTGCTTTGTGGGGGTGTGGACGCGGCGACTAACGAAACCGTCAATCGCGTGTACGAGCTGTCGTACGATGCAACGAGCGCGCTTTATGTTTTTACGGAAATGTAAGCTGGGTTATGTGTTGCTGGGTGGTTGGAGGTGGTTGGGCCGAGCGGGAGGGACGACGCACGGAAGGGACTCCAGGATGGGAGGGACATCCTGACAGAGCAGACAGACAGACGGACGAACGAATGGATGGACTGTACAGGGGTTAAAAGAGAAAAAAATGGAAAACAGTATCTAGGGATTCCTAGGGAAGGGAAGACATTGCAAAAGACTTGGGTTGTTTTTTTCGAACGGAACGTTTCCATTCCCGCCTAGTTATGCATCTCTGTACGACAGGGCTACTACCATGCACCTTTTTCCTCCACGGCTGCCTGGTCGCCGTAGTCATCATCACACCGCTCCCGCCGCCGCCGCTGCCCTGCCGCTAAATTACCGCCTGCCGTCCTCCGCTACACCCGCACCGCTGCCGCTGCCGCCATCCCTGTCTCACCCCCCCACGGCCACCTCCTTCAGGAGCCCTATGCCGGAGCCCCTCTTCGGTCTCTCCCTGGCGGCTGGAAACGATGATTCAAAGGTCTACCTTAGCGGCGGACTGTCGGGCAAGTACTCGGCCCTGCCCAACGCGACCCTGCCGCCCCAGCTAGCGGCAACGATCTCGGGTCTCGGCGGGAGCTCGGAGTGTCCGAGGCCGTCGGCGCGTGTGCTCGTGTTTGACCGGGGTGCAGCGGAGGGTAACGGCAGCTGGACTGACTTGGGCAGCGCAGCTCGCCCTGTGGCGTTTCATAGCAGCTGGGTGTCGGGTACGTCTTCGGGGGATGCTGGGTGCGGGTGGTGGGTGCGTGTATTCGTTGCCGGCTCCGGGTGCTTTCTTCCTCCTCCTCCTCCTCCTCCTCCTCCTTCTCCTCCTACTCCGCCGCCGCCGCCGCCTTTTTTTGGATGTCCGAATTAGCGCTTTTTGTCGGCTTGTTCGCCTATAAAGATCGTCTCGGCCTTCCGGCTTTGGATATTTCCCTCGTGTCCGTTTTTCCCACGTTGATTTTCGGCATGATGATTTCCTTACCTTCGTTTTCTGGCCTCTACCCCGCAGGTAGCTCTCTTTACATGTACGGCGGCGTCCAAGGGCCCGCGGACAACAACGCCATCACGGCCTGGTACCCACTTCAAGTTGTGCAGTTGTCGGGTGGAGACCCACCCGCTACAGGCTCGTACAACCTGACGGCCGTACAGGATGCGCTGCGCGACTGGAACGTCGTACAGCCGGGAAGCTTGTCCGGCTCGGCGATTTGGCTGAACGCCAGTGCTACGAATGGCGGTCCAGCACAGGTACATGGGTTTCCGCTTCCGCGTGTAGAGAAGAAAGAACATCATGACATTCATTATACCGCACGGACGCAAACTCACCACGTTTTCTGCTTGCCTCCCCTCCTCTCTGTCTCACCTCCCTTTAACTCCTCCTTCACAAACTGCGACTGGTTTAAAGTTATTTCTTACATACTTCTGGATTAGGGTGCCCCGCTCGCAGGGGAGAGCAGGGAACTGCCTCCAAGGGAAAGGGGGCCGCTGGTGAAGCTATACCACCCTGTAACAACAAACATACTTCTGGGGTAACTCAGTCTATCAGCTTGGCATCAGGTTCACTCGTTCACGTGGTTCGTCTTTTACCCCCCTTCAGGCTCGTCTGTGGCTGTTTGGCGGCTGGGCGACCCCTCAACCGTTAGCCCTAGCCGCGGACGCCTACATTTCCCCCCAGGACGGCAGCCTGATGTGGCGGTTGGGGGGTGGCGCCGGCGCCAATTCTTCTTCGCCCCAGTCGACGGCAGGCCGTTGGCTGGCGCCGCTGCAGTGCGGCATGGCGCCGCGTGGGGCTGCGGGGTTGATGTCGGTCCCCGTAACCGTGAACGGCTCCCGCAAGCTGTTGGTCATGGGCGGCCGTACGGCTAAGGGCTGGACAGGTGGGGGGCCCCTCCAGGGGGGGAAGGGGGGGAATGGTTTGGGGGGGTGGCGGTCAAGTGGTGCCGGGTGGTGGTGGTGGTGGAAATTCATCTGTGCTTCATATGCGGGAAAATGGGGAGTGAACTGCCGCCGGTGTTTGGGGGAGGGGTCCAGGGGAGCCCCCTTGAGGGCCTAGTGGTGGGTGGGTGGGTGGAGTGGGTAGCGAAATGCAGCTTGCAGAAGGTTTTGATGCCGATGTCCACAACAGCACCCTTAGCAACAGCACCCTTAGTTGCGACCACGACCACGACAGCGCCCTACATTGCCCGAGGGAATGGTGGAAGGTGGTAGAGGAGGGGGGTTGTGAGGGGCAGTGGACGAGTTCGACAGGGGGGGAAGGAGCACAGCACGGTGCAGCACAGCACAGGGTAGTGCTGCCAGATCAACATGCCACCGAAGAGACTTATGATCGTTTTCAATTCGAAGTGCGCACACAGTGAATGGCAGCAAAGGAATGGCAGCAAAGGAATGGCAGCTGGGCAGGCTAAGAAAGCGCTATGATACTCGTGCCCCTGCTGGGCTGTCCGGCTGTGGCACACGCACCCTTGATACGGCCATAGGGTAGTCACCTGGAGAGGATCCGCAGCCACAAAAGTCCTGCACGACTAGTTGAAGTTGGTGTTTGATTATAGACGTGTCCTTTCCCCCACGTCACGCTGCGCCCACCACCATGTGGCTTTAATTAACCCTCGCGCACACACCTCCTCGGCCGTAGGCGCCACCGGCGGCGGCAGTACGTCCCTGTCGTACGTCCCCG